GGCTCCCTTTTTAACACATCCATGTGAACCACTGTCTTCTTGATGATAGCCATTCCAACTGGTGTGAGGTGATATCTCACTGTCATTTTGATTTGTACCTCCTTGATGATTAGTGCTACTGAGCATCTTTTCATGTGCCTGTTAGGCATTTTGATTCCTCTTTGGACAAATTTAGTTCTTCCGCCCAATTTTTAACAGACTGTCTGCTCTCAAGTTTTGTTAGCTCTTTATATACTTTGAATATTAACCCCTTATCTGATATATGATTTGCAAAAATTTTCTATTCTGAAAGAATTCTTTTGAATATTAAATCTCTAGTTATACATTTAAAAAAAAGCCTATCATCACAGTGTTTATTACAACCAACTGATCTCTTAACATATCACCTCTAAGCAGAGGCAAAAACAAAGTAGAAATAACTTGCGCTGTATTGTTCAAAGGAGATGATCCAATTGAAGTTATTCACCCAGAAAGAGCATTTGATAGGCTTTTTAAAAAGTGTTTATCAAGTCATGCCACTCCCTTGTTAAAAAAAACTTTTTTTTTTTAAACGTTTGTTTATTTTTCAGAGAGAGACAGAGTGCAAGCAGGGGAGGGGCAGAGAGAGAGAGGCGGACACAGAATCTGAGGCAGGCTCCAGGCTCTGAGCTGTCAGCATAGAGCCCAACTGGGGGCTCCAACCCACAAAACGTGAGATCATGACCTGAGCCAAAGTCAGATGCTTAACTGACTGAGCGACTTAGGCACCCCTAAAAGAGCTTCTAACTCATCAACATGGCTTAGGAGTTCCTCTGCAAACTCTCTTACAATTTCTTTGCCTTTATTCCGGCTACTCTTCTTGCATCTTGCCATCAGCTAGCTACCTTAAGATTTCAAACAGGCCCTGCTTCTTCCTATCTCAGTTTTGGTAAATGTTGTGTCTTCTAATGGAAACATGTTTCCCTGTCTGCCCAACTCCTACTTTTCCTTCAGGTTCTGTTTTACACGATTACCTGATATGAAGTATAAGTTCACCCATCTCAACACCTAGTTTTTCTTGTTTGAAGCACTCAGCATTTTTAAACGATATATTTACATTAATCTAATTATAGTCTGTTTCTCTCACCAAAAACTCCAAAAAATCAAGGGCCACGTTTTGTTACCACCCCTTCACTAGACACAGTATTTATTTCGGTGCTTAGGAGAGTAGCAATAAAAATATGTTGAATAAATAAAGTGAATAGAAACATTCTGATGAGATAATTAGTAAAATTATGAAAACATGTTTATGAAAGAGGTCTGAAAAATGGAGAGGAATTAAAAAATAAAAGAGTTTGGAAACATTATTTATCAGGAAAAAATAATGAAGTAGTCTGCGAAGGGTAAAGGGAGTTTTACTAAATTTCTCTAAAGATGTAAAAAATATTATAGTACATTTTGATGACATGTTTTCTTTCCACTAAAAGTAGGAGAAAAAATAAGTTTAAGTTAGAAGTTAAGAAACAATATCTTGCTATTTTTATAAATAAAGTTTTACTGAAACATCACCATGTCCATTTATGTTCTATGTATGGCTGCTCTTCGTACAACTGCAGAGCTGAGGAGCTGGGATAGACTACGAGCCTGTAGAGCCAACAATGCTTACTATGTGATATCATACACAAAAAAAGTTTGCCAACCCCTGGTTTAAGCCAATATACTAGAAATTTCAATAAGCATAAAAAAATAATTTCAGATCACCTGATCTTAAAATATAGAAAGGGATATAAGAAAACTCTTTCTGTTCAAAGTGTTTAGAAATAAAAGAGAAGGACATCAATGTGGGTTAACAGACATGAGATCTGAAGGAAAGAAGAAAGGATTTTACTTATCTACTGAAATATCTTCTACCTTAATCTTCTACAGAACAAAAACGAACAACAGTTTTACTAAACTGAAATTAATAGATTTGAATCTGAGTATCATCATAATATGATTTGTATTTTTGCACTAAGAAAAACAAAAATGTACAGCTGGCCATGAGAAAGATGGACCATTATCTTCAATTAAATGTTATGTAACAAACTATAACATCTTTACTAGTGACTTAGGAAAAGCAAAAAGCACCTGATGAAAAATGCAAAGAAATTTTAAAAAAGGGAGTATCCAGAGATAAAGAAATCGTTCTTCATCAACATACTGATATACTGACAGAAAGGACATTATTAAAACACCTGGTCCACTTGTAGGGATAAAACTTATGCTATTAAAGTCCATAATAAACACTTTAGTTTTGTATATTAACTATAGAAAAGCTACTTACTGTTCTCTTAAACTGTTCACTTGATTTCTGTCTCTTGACAATAGTAACAAATCAAGTCATACTAACAACAAAAATTTAGGAAGAGATTAATTTGAACCATTTTAGAAATGTCTTTTTTAAAACTGCCCACCTGTAGCTGAATTAGAAGCCCAAAGGACCAATTATGTGTGTTTTGAGAAGAGTTTAAAAAAAAAAAAAGGGTTAAGCCTACTTTTCAAACATGGATATAGTTTAAATCTCAACTAGAGTTTTTTTTTTTTTTTTT